CAAACGTTGCTCGCGGACCTAGGAGCCATAGTGATCAGGGCGTCAACCTTTGAACACTATACTTCGAGGTCCACCCCAGCTCAGGGTATCTCCATCTGATGAGTCAAAAGGAGGACGAAACCGGTCATGGGGACTCAGGTTGGGAGAGTACTGGAAGATATTTATATAACAAAGCATTAGGATAAAACTGAAAACCCACCAACTTAAGTAAATAGACTAAGCACGCAAGCACAAGGTTAGTAAATCGAATGCAGCCTACCTACAAATGCTGCGCCCGTTCTGCCTACGATCTCTGCAGCACTCGTCGTCACTTCAGTAGTGGTTCCGAGTGGCCTCGCTGATGGCGCACTAGGCCTGCCTGACTCATAGCCTCGCGACAGCATGTGCTACAGCACCAGGCGCTCGATGTCGATGGAGTACAACCCATCGGCGCCTGTCGCTTCCGCACTTGCCGCCTCTTCTCTGCATGCATGAGGGCTTTCTCCTGCACCTCGGCAACTGCCTTCGTGATCAGATCGCGCCATGCACGCCGATCAACCGCCTTCGATTCCCATGATTTGCAATCAAGATTAGAACGTGAGAAGCTCACTTTGATCATGTCCCGGTAACGCAACTTTGGTTTCCACACATGCCGCTTCCCAATACTCAGCTGACCATATAAGAGTTATTTTGATATCCGCGTCGAATCCATACGGCTCACATAACCGAGCCACCTCAGGTGTCTCAGTAAAAGTATGCAGTCCACTGCATACATCCCACTTTGTCGCAACACCTCCGTGTCAGCAACTCTGTCGCCCCATCTAATACGCAAAATCCGTTGCAAACATTGCTGACGGAACCGCCCGAGATATCGCACTTCCCGCCGGTACATCGTCCACGTTTCACTACCGTATAGAAGAACGGACAGCACCATGGATTTGTACACCATCAACTGCGTGCCAATGGTAAGCTGGTGGTTGTTCCACACTCAGGACTCTAGCTTACCGAATGCCGCCGCTGATTTCGACACGCGGATACGCAGCTCACTGTGTAGCGGCTGATTAGTCGACATCACAGTCCCAGGGTAGCTGAAGCGGAAGGTGGTTCCCGATACTACAGCACCAATACTGATTCGCGGCAATATTGAAGATTGCACCTCCGGTGAAGGCTGAAAGAGACAGACGGTTTTGCTTGTGTTGATGCTGACTCCGAATTTGACAGCTGTTGAAGCCAGAGCACTAGTCGTGTGCTGCAACACCTCCGCGCTGAGTGCAAACAACGCCTAGTCATCAGCAAACTGCAACATACGATTAGTTGTCTCACAGACTAGAGTTCTCACACCGAAACGACGGATGTTCAGCAACCCACCATCAGTACGGTGCTCTACAAGAACACCCTAAACACAAGCGGCATCTAAAGCACAAGGCAGCATCGCATGAAGATAGATATCAAACAGGACAGGAGCTAAGACACTGCCTTGCTTCACACCAGAGACAACTGCAAAGTCATTCGAGGTCTTTCAACTCAGCTGCACCCTCGCCTGCATACCATTGTGCAGACATGCAATTAAACTTACAAACTTACTCAGACAACCAAACTTACCCAACACCAGCCACAATGCCTCGCGGTTCATTGTATCAAATGTCTTGGTGAAATCAACAAAAAGCGAGTACAATGGCTGGTTTCGTTCTCTGCACCATATCGATGGTGCTGCGACCCGAACGGAATGCACACTGCTCTTCCGCCACGTTAGGTTCCACAACCTGATGACGAGGCGGTTGAGCAGGATTCAGACAATCACCTTGCCCACACAACTAAACACGTTGATGCTACGAAAATTCGTGCAACATTGCTTGCTCCCTTTGCCGTTGTACAGTAGTAGCACAAGCGCATCCTTCAGCTCAAGAGGCACCTCCTCCTCAATCCATACACGTTGCACCAAGTGGTGCAGCGCAGTCATCAACGCGGATCCGCCGTGTTTCAATACTTCAGGCGGGATCCCGTCGGCTCCGGCACACTTGCAGTTTCGCAGCTGAGCAAGTGCTCTCTGTGTTTATCCAGTGTCGGCGTGTCCGTCAGGCTCGTCTCCATATCGTGCTGCTTCAGCCCGTTCAATGTAGGCCAGTCGATCTCTGAACGGTTGTTCAGGAGACAGTCAAAGTGTTTTCGCCAGATCTGCATTATGTCTGCAGTCTGTGCGCAGGTGGCGCCTGAGCTACCATCGATCAGCCTCCTCAGCGGCTCCAATCTCGGTCCATACACCGCCTTCAAGGAGTCAAAGAATTCCTTGCGTTGACGGCGTTCGGCGTAGCATTCCATCTGCTTCGCCTTCTCAGTCCACCATGCATTTTTAATGCGACGGAGCTCTCGGGTCAGTCGCCGTCTAATTCTGCGAAACTGACTACCCTTCCCCAGGGTCTGGCACATGTGCAGCAAATGCTGCATACTTCTCCGACACCAATGCGCCAGTCGTCGCATTGTTGTCCTGAAACCATCCATTCTGCTTACAGTTTGCGCGCCCGATGGTCTCCACGGCAGAAGCTGTCACCTAATCGCGAATGTGGTGCCACAGGTTGCCCACTGTAGCTAAGCAGTTCACATTACACAGGCGTGCAGCCATTGCCTTCACCAGCTCAGTACGTTTCGCCACAGTATCCAGGGAAAGAATGTTAAATTTGCGCCGATTCACGGCGGGAGTGGAATACACAGATTTACGAAAATATATGTACAGTTTGGTCCGCATCAATTTGTGATCAGTGACAAACTCAGCTCCAAGCAGTATACATGTCATGCGCACTTCACGCATATCACGCTGACGTACGATGTCATAGTGGAGAAGGTGAGCGTGACCACTGCGTGGGTGCGTCCAAGTTGCTAATTCACTCGTACTCAGTGCAAACCGAGTGTTCGTGATCATCAGACTGTGAGTGGCACACACTGAGAGCGACCTGTCACCGTTCGCATTCGCTGAACCAATGTCATGCGAACCGATAACATCTGTCCACACCGATGTACCACGCCCAACGCGCGCGTTGAAATCACCCGGCAGAAATGGTCGGTCGCTCCTCGGCATAGACCATATCACGGAGGATAGCTGAGTGTAGAATTGATCACGCGTGTCATCAGAATAACACATGGTCGGATCGTACGTGCCTATAAAGCTGGCAAACTTACCTCTTCCGAGTCGTAGGCGAACAGTCATCAGTCGCGCGCTGATACCTGTTGGTTCACACACCAGCAGGCCATGGAGGCGATCGAATATTGCAAATCCGACCCCGTGATCACGTGGTGCTGAGGCGGCGTTGCCCACCCAGTAGAATGTGTAGCCAGCACCTGCTTCATGCAACTTACCTTGCTCAGCGAGCCGGGTTTCACTGGGCGCCGGAATATCGATGTTGTAGCGCGCCAGTTCCATCGCGACGAGTGCAGTGCGTCGCTCCGGGCGCTCGCTGGAGTTCCGGTCCAGTAGATGCGCACGTTTCAGCACCCGATGCTGAGTGCTTTGCGCGCAGGCATACGATTGCATTTGTGGTCAATCGCACGCGAGGTGGTAGTTGTGCTTCGGAGATTTGCTTGAGGGACTCCACCTGGAGCCTTTGACTCAATAACCTGACCCACAATGCGGTGGTTGATTTGGAGGTTTGCTTGAGCGACTCCGCCCAGAGCCTTTGGCTCAATAGCCTGACCCACAAGGCAGTAAAGAGCAGATCCAGTTCGGGATTGTGATTGCAGAGACAGATTGGGATCTGTTCGACGATCGTCACACGCAGTTTTTGTGGTACTGGGACGATTTATATATGTTTTGCGACCGTAGTAGGATACACCTGCGACTACGGCCAGACGCATGTGGGCTTTGGCTGGTTTGTACCAATTTGACCAGGGGCTGCCTGGCTTGAGGCAGGCAGTAGCAAACCACTGAACACCTGGAGGTGCCCTCCCACCGTCAGAGACAATCCGTGGCGCTCGTGCTCTACGCCAATCGAGCTGTGTGCTTATAACCCGTAGACCTGTTGTCTCCCATGGCTAGGTTTTACGGGAAAAGTGCCATCGATCACTTCATAACCTCCGAAAAGGATAGACTAGGATACTGGCAGGGCGCCCACACCTGACAGGAGAACGACTTGAGTCCTCAGCCAAAGCCTTCGATTAAACGAACACCCGAAAGGCAGCGGGTCTAGCACATGGTCAGTTCACTGACTTATGCGGATTGGTATCCTGGATATTATCAGGGAGAAGGGCGAAACCCAACTCCCTCCCAGCGGTCGCCACGAGGAGGCGTACAGGACATGAGCCAATGATACAACAGTAGCAGCAGTGGGTAGACCATCTGTCAGGATCTAGCCACCATCAGCCTCAGCGAACGATAGGCTCTCCCGGCATATATATATATATATATATATATATATATATATATATATATGGGAACACAAAAAAGTCACACTAAGCCAGTTCTGGACTGAAGGGTGGGTGAAAGAAAGGTCAAGGAAATCATCAACAGTACGCCGGCACATTGTACCGACGCTTCGCTGCTAAGCGACCACCACCGGTCGCACGTGAGCTGAGTATATCGCGAGAACGCCTGAACCCTACGCGAATTCCAACCGGTGACCTAAGGATTGCAAGCCAGGTGGGAGATCTTTTTGGCCACCGGCCGACAGGGTGGGTAACCAACCTTCTGGATGCGTTCTCTAGCCAGAATATCTACGACGGCATGGGACCTGAGTGTAGGTGCGTCGTCATGGTGCTGCAAGATCCTCGTGCTGTAGTCATTGGACGACGCCTGGCTATAGTTTCTGAGGTGGATACTGTGGAATAATCCGTTGAGTCATCGACATCCATGAGTATAAATGAAGAGAGATAGAGTGATATAATCGAAAAATTCGACGCAACGATAAGCCGATCCCGATATGATAGCGCAGCGATATGGTGATTGAAGTCAGATATTGGCAGTTAGAAGGAAAACTCCCGGCCAAAATAAGATGGAGAGGAGAAAAGGTATATTTATGAGGAGGGTGCAAGACTTACTCTGACCACCATGTGTCGAAACACTTTAACAATAGTGCATCCGAGTTGTCATCGGATGAGGAGTCTCCTGGAGCAAGCAATACATCGACATCCAAAAAGTTTCGTAATGAGCGAATAGCTGGTGACTTGCGGCTAAGCTCGTTGGAGTGGCGATCACCATCGAATAACGCAGGCTCTGGAGAGAGTATGGAGTGATGTAGGATTTTTAAATTAACCCAAATGGGAAACCAGCAGCTGTAACGTATGAGTGATTGCATCATCAATACCTAGGTCTGGGCACCGTAAGAAGGAGAAAAACGGTTAGCACCGGGACATCATTCATTCAAACTACAAGTTAGATAGGTCTGCAAAACACTTTAGCTATTGTGTTACAATACAAAGCAATTAGATGGTTATAAAAAAGAATGGAAAAACATGTTCTGGGTCAGGAGTGAGATCGGGGCTGGAAGAGGTTGAGGCCAATGAAATCGGCTCTTCGTCATGTCAACAAAGGTCTACAATCAAACACGTTCATAATCCCTGAGACACAAACCAGGGAATCGAAAGATATCAACACCGATCTAGTTCGAAGGGAGATCTTTCATTTTTCCTGACCAAGTCATCGACTGACCCCAATTATTTTTTCCATTCATACTCCGATCGCGAAAACAAGACGCCGCGCGGGAATCGGTGTGCTGGCATGCGTAACATATGACCAAGCCACCGAAATCTGGTGCCTAAAATAACGGTTCTGAGCCGTTCACCTCCTCTTCCTGCGCCATAAACAAGGCGAGGAACAAGCTTGTTGGTCACGCGTGTATCCATCATATGAGTTCAGCTGAGAAGGCACCAGTGGTCTGTCGATCTCATGGACCAAGTTTTGCAAATATCCAGTAAGGTTGAACGGAAGGTAGCAATGTAGACTCCAGCCTCAAAGATGAGCGTGGTGCATTGCGAAGTTGAGCAAAAGTGCCTCAAGCTTAGGTTATGTTGTCGGTTAGTTCATCTTCTACTATAAAGGCGGATATAAGCACCAAGTTAGAATGATTTCTGAAAGATTTATAACTGAGCCCCACAAAAGGTTAGCGCAAGGGTTGATTCCTGCCAATATTGGAAGAAAGCTTTGCGTTTTAAGAGTGCAAAAGCAAAGCCCAAAACGATTTTGAGTCAGTGTTAATTTGTCCATTGCTGCTTGACAGGTGTAGTGTGGAACGGAAACTGTCGTGGCGCGCTGCTTGACTTTGAATTGGTGCTCACGCTGCGCTCTCATTTGCCTTGAAGGAACCTGGTCGTGCGCTTTAGCGGAAGAAGTACAAGCAGAGGAAGATGGACTGTAACGTTTATTTTCCTTTTTTATAACATAATTTCCTCTATTGTAGTTTGCTATGTGTTGCTCAATAAATCTCCAGTTCCAATCTCCGGAGTTCTCCAGAGCTTGAATATTACATAGGTTTGTAAATTAACAGATTAGGGCAATATTGTGGATCAAGAAGCTTATCATTTGGAAGCAACACCACACTTTTCAAGTCGCCTCGAGTGAAGGCAATTTCCATGACTTCGTCAACAGCGAACTTGAACTGGTAAGATGACAGCTGGTATCATCGAATCAGATCAGTAGAGAAATAACGGGTCAGCGACAGTCTTTCATAGGCCCACCGTATGCCAGACCGTGCGCGCATAAAGTACACACTTTTCCTGAGCAGACAGTCCAAAAAGGCATATTGATCCATCGAATCGAAGACACATTTGATGTTGAGGAACACGACTACTACGGTGGATTGCTAGTAAATATGGCAAACATGATTTTCAGTGGGGCCAGTTAATCTGTGAAAAGCAACAGAGGTAAGTGATTTGGGAGCAATTGAGATCAGAATGACCCCCTTATTACATCCGCACTCCGAATGTGAGTATTACTTGAAAATCGGAGCTATAACGGAAGTGCTTCAGTTGGTGGGGATGGTTCTTTGTTCCCACAGTTTGATTAATAAATTGTACAAATCGTCAACCATATCTGATCTCTCAAGTTTGGTACGAACCGCAAGAGGATCATCTGGCTGCGCGGTTTGACGCAATTTTAACGGTCCGATATCACATTCGACTTATGCGCGATTTGGTGGATTCAAAGGGGGCCCTTGGAACAGAGTGATTACTGGCCGGTAATGAAGCTAGTAGTTCTGGCCAATTGTAATGTTCAGCTTATAGCTATAGGCGTTTAGATAGGTTGCGGATAAGTTATCTCCTCACGTCGAATGTACTTTCGCCAACACCCGAATCCATGCAGCCTATTTTCTGTATACGGCGGGACAACTTCCGATGAATACTAAGAACAGTGGCTGTTTCCATTCCCCCTGCATGATGGGACCACCAGGCTTCCCGGCCTTTCCCCAGGCTAGCATGTGATTTTATCCTGAGATCTTGGCGAGTTTCACGGTATTTGCTTGCGGCCGAAATGTGCCAACCAGCAGCGAGAAGCTCCGGAGCATAACGATCCAACGACCATTATGACAGTTTTGAATGAAGGCACACAGGAATGGAAAGTACACGAAAGAATCGCAGTTCAGATCACGAAAGGAGACAAATCAAGCACTAAGTCAATAGCTTCAAGTCCCATACGGAAGAAGACAAGACCTCTGAAGGAGTCCTATCATTACGCTAACTCAGCCGACAAACGATGGAACACTTGGACATTTATATAACCTCTAACGGCCTTGTCAGATCGCCATGCACAGTCCTGGTCTAAAGCAGAAAAGGATCGGTGCGCGCTGTTTAAAAATAAAAAACGGTGGCTAAGAATAGTCAATAGCTCGGTTGATTCTGTATAATCTTTGGAAAACCTAGCGTTTCCCCAACCTAGATATTCATGATATACGTTAGCTGAAGATGGGAAACACACCACAGCTAAGGTGTCGCAAATAGAGACCCACTGCCCAGACTGGCAACTGGATCTGCCATACGAAGGCATACCTTCTGCTAGTAACGTCTGGTGAACATATAACCAGCTGGCTTCAACCAGGTCCAGTGATTATTTACGCCGCTCGGACGCGGGTGAACTTTGATACCTATCAAGAACACCTAGTTTCGCCTGTTGATAAGCATCTATTTACACTCAGCGTCATCGCGAGCGTCCGTCGAAGACACCCGCAGATCAGCATACAGATGTGCATGGTCGTTTATGCTCAAAGTCCAGCGCCAGTTTTGAACACAACCTCTTCGACAGTAACTGATCTCGATGCGGTAAACTTGAGCACATGGCTAGCAGACGTCAGATAACTATGAGGGCGGTGTGTTGGAAGTTCGAGAATTAAACGAGTGTTGTCGCAGAAGTATACCAACCGCTCACCTTCATCGCTAGGGGAGCCTACGCCGTGATGGAGCTCATCACTGGGCAATCTTCTAACTTGAACGCCTAGATCACTAGCCAGCACTAGTGCAGAGGAATGCTTACTTCAGGGCCACTCCAGAGGGCACAACAACAAAGTGGAAAAGGCGTGATCATTGGAGCGTTTCACTGATCTATCCCGAAGAACAGAGTAAGTGTTGTTGTCCAACAAGCCTTCACGCTACTCGCAGCGTCTGTGACTTTGTGCTTCGGTTCCTACCCCAAACACTTCAATAGCTGCTGAAAGCTGATTGTCGGAGGGCGAGTAGCAGTTCAGGTTGATGGACTGCAGTGGGGGTGGGGAAATCTGGAAGAAGTTCAGCATCGAAGTGCCGGCACTTTGGTTCACGTTGCGATGACGACAATTCACATCGGTGAAACAGGCAACAAGATGCTAAACCAATGAGATGGTTTGGGTGATAGTCAAGTCGGTACGGTGTACGGACGCCTCACTGACAAGCGACCACCACAGGTCGTGCGTGGGCTGAGTATACCGCGAGGACGTTCGACCTTACGCGGATTCGAATCGAGGACCTAAAGATTGCAAGCCAGCAGTGCAATCCTTTGGGCCACCGGCCGACGTTTGGGTGATATGTCCAACATGGAAATTATTGAGAATACCTGTAGCTCGGAGAGTGGATGAGAGGATTGTCTTATTCTCCGAGCTGGGCATTTCTGTTGCCCGGTTCGGAGAACAGGACAGCCCTTTCATGGTCAACATGGTTAGGGGGCTGGTTAGCTAGGCGAAATCGCCTAGGTGGCCAATTCCGGAGTCGTCACACCATGAAACAAACGCGACTGTGCCACACCGGTGTCTGTGGTCCATCAAACGAGAAAGAGATTGGTAGTGAAATAGAAAAAGAGTAGTATGAGCAAGGCACTGTAACCAAACGGAGGTTGGTGGCAGATAAAAATGACCTACAGCAGATCAACACATTTAGGCAACTATGATCCGCGCATAGACGAGTGACTGATCCAGCTCCCGTGAAGTTCGTTGCCATGTAAAGCAGTATACGTAGAGAAAATGGAGGTACAGACTAAAGACAAGGACAAACGTTCAGCTCAGTTGAACAACTATGATCCGAGCACTGAAGTGTAGATGATGTAGTTGCCACGACACACAGCAATAACAATAAATAACAACGATGAATGGAAAGAGAATGTGAAAATGGAAATGAGAAAAAAGCGCATTAAACTAATCAAAACGGAACAAAAATTAACAATCAGATGCAAGAAACCGAATGCAGAAACACCACTGACTACGTGACTACGCCATGTCTGATACGGCCTGTAACCATTGGTGTGGACTATCCTGAGGCTCCCATTTACGAAGACGGCACGCATCAGTCTGAGCAAATCTCTCGGACAGTTTCTTCATGCCTCTATGCCATGTCATGGACTGGCAACCTTGCGGTTTCGCCCAACTTAGTGTAGTCAAAGCGTATAATGCAAACCGAAGAAGCCGGTTGACGGTCATCCGAAGAACACGGCCCAGCCAACGTAAGCGATTAAGATTCAGTAAACACTCGAGTGAGGAACTAGAAGGTTTCTTGTCAAAAAGCAACTGGTGTACTTCAACATTGCTCGTTCAGTATTCACACCAGACGTGAGCAATAAACCGCAAGCACCGGTGGTCAAACACGACCAAACGTTTAATGTCTGCACTGCGAACTGGCCAGATCTCTGATCCATAAAGTAACGCAGGTCTTGTCGCAGCGTTAAACACCTTACCATTCACTGATAAGCTGATATCCCGCCGTCTCCAAAGATGGTAGAGCTTCTGGTAAACCATACAGGCCTTGCTGATATGCGAGGTAACTTCCTTAGTGATGTGACCAACAGAGGTGACACAGTTACCAAGGTAAGTGAACTGATCCATCATTTCCAGGAAAAGAGGATTATTTAACATGTGAGTGTCATATCCAACTAGTGGTGTTACTGATCCCGTCAGCTCTGTCTAGAAAAGCGGTAAGAATCAGATTGATCAACTGTTGTGGTCAACTGGTTCATTTCCTTCTATTAATTATCGCTCAACTATATAGACGAGCAGTCCGATGTAGGAGACGATACACCCCAAAATCGTGGTCTACGTAACGCAGAAGGTTCGGGTTCTATAAACGGCTCAAGGGAGTGCGAAAGCCTCTGCTGTTAAACATTTCGGTACTACTCACTCGGTGGTAGCACTTGATACGAGTACCGCTGTCTAGGCACAGGTGACCAATCAAACAGTGTCAGTCTCATTATTTCTTCCGTGCGTAATGATAGAAGCTCTAAATCGTAAAACTATACCGACATCGCTACAACGGTGTACACTCCGCAATGAAGTAGCAAACTTATGTTCTGCTGTCACCAGAAGTGGCGAAAACTCTGGAAGAACCCACAAGGATTGTTAAAGCGTGCGGTGAGCTCATCGGCTTTTGACCGCCAACAGTGATATAGTTAGCTAGGCAAGTGGACGGAGCGACCAATTCGAGCAGTTGTTTGTTGATGGTGAAAGCGAGTGACGTATCGGCTCATGATTGCAATGATCCCCAGCGCTCTGAAGATGCGAAACACATGTCAACGCATACATTGTTTTGTGTCAGTCAAACAAGAATCGACTGCATAGCAGTTATGTGCAATTCCAGGAGGGTCGATTCATCCACAAACCCAATAGTTTCTTGCAGTGATAGGAGAAGACGACTATTCCAGAAAGTAAAAATGAAAGCGTCGTTCATGATTACAGTATCTCAGCGAGAAAGCAAAGGAAGATAAGAACGGTCTACGGTTGAGTCGACCATAACATGAACCCGAATATAGCCGCACGACCTAAGGAAAAAAGAAACGACTCGAGATGAAAAAGTTTCCAAGGTAACCTGATCGACCAAGGAGACGAGCTCAGGTTGCAGTTTCGACAATCCGTAGACATCTGGAGTGCTGAAAGTAAGAGACAGCCAGTTGACAACAAACAGAAATAGAGATAGGGCCATGTCATATTCACTAACACAGCGCCAAGTAAGGATTCTAGAGCGGGTGAAATCGCAAAATGAACTTTGTGAGTGGGTTGAGGTCAAAGAAAGAATAATTCAAGAGACAACCCGGAATATCCATGAAACAAGAAAAACGCATCGTTAGGGGACTGGGAAATGTTCATAGTGACGAGGACAAATGGGCGAAACCCCGTAAACGAGCCCAGAGCTGAAATAGTCGGATGGAGGTGAGGCCGAGAGAGAGGGAGGCGTTAGTAGAACATCGGTACCTAGTACTGCTGTCTCGCTGTCACGTGGCCACCAATAGTCGCAGGCGAGTCAGACACTGTGAGGCAACCCGCGTAAACTCAGAGTCGAACCAGTTGCCTATGGATTAGGATTCACACGTCTGAATCAGCAGACGTGAAATAGTGCTTAATTAACAATCCAAAACGCTTAAGCCCAGTTGAGTACAGAGAAGCCGGTGATGTCGATAAGTAGTTCGCTAATCATAAACCCAGAATGTAGCACAGGCTCCAAAAGAATAGATCAGAAAAAACAAGGGCGCTAGTCATGAGAAGTGTTGCAGACTCACGGAAAGGATCCATTACTTCAAGCTCAAGCAGTCTCTGCCGGATAGAGGCCACCCAAGGATACACACCATTTTCACAACTAAGAAATAAACATCTAACTGATTCCAAGGTTGTGCAGAGAAATCTCGTGAGTGAAAGAAACCATTCCGATAAAGAAAGGATCCGACTCTGTCCGGTGGAATGGATTGCCTCTGGGCCTGCGAGGATCTGCCCCAGAGCCATCTGGATTAAACAGTAAATACAATCAGCAACATGTTGTTTGAGAAATCGTGCATATGATAAAGAGGTAAAATGAAGGGCATATTACGTAGTAGTACCACAGAAAAAATGACAGACAAAGAAATACCGGCTCTAACTGGTTAATATTTCAGTTATCAGGTGACCGAAGCTTTCTTTACGGGTCTCTACTTAACAGAAACCGATACTGACCCGTATAGCTCTCAAACAATTATTGATCGTGACTCTTCGTGACACAGTCATCACCTGCGCCCATTTGGTTATCGCGTTTGCCTCAGGTAATTGGCTGGCAGGGAAAAATCAAGGTAGGTCAAACTAAAGTTAACTAACTGCAATGTTGTCCCTTCCCTCGTTCCCGAAGGGCCAGTGAACAACACGGCAACGCACATAACCGTGAACGTTTCTAAAGAGGAGAGCAAAGCGCTCAACCAACCAAGAAAGGGTGAACGATAGAATATTATCAAGATGCATACCGCGCAGGTAATTGAATATCACATTTGTAGACGGGTCACAGACTCGTCATCCATGTGAGGTTATGTTTGTTGGTAGGCAACAGACGCGGAAGCAATAGTAAAACACCGAACCGAAGCGAAACACCTATAGTGATGGTTGTGGTGCACGATTGGGTGATAGTTGGGTTTTCAACCATTTGATCGTTTAAAAGGGTTGGTTCACCATGAAGTGACATTCTTGACAACAACTGGTGCAGTTTGATGAGAACTCCAACGAAATGCGTTCACATGTCTCTGGGCAAAATGTAACTCAACAGCACCTGTCCATCGCTCCAAAAACAGGTGATAAAAGGAACAGAAAACCACGTCACGCAGCCAACACCATAAGCGATGGGATAGAAAGTGAGTTCAGTCGAATGTCAAGCTATGGTACAGTCCAACATGCTATGGGGACCAGTTAAAAGCATACCAAACTTTTTCATTAATTTTCCCATTGGTCTTAACTTGTGTATCGCGTTCACCAGTTTAGCGCAAACGCGATCACGAGTTTGTGGTCCGCAGGCGTCCTAGAACCTGTGAAAGGCATGACTAGCTGGGATTTCGTCTGTGGTGTCATGAGACTGCCACCGTATCGCAGATGGCATAGATTTGGTCTCAAAGTGTCATATTTGGCCGCTCAATCTGCTTATCTTGTATGCGTCGCAAGACTAGACATTAGCAGGGCAGTGGTAAAGTAACTGTCCGAGCGTGTAAATGAGTGCCTAATTAGCCTGTGATTTGTCCACAAAGTACATGTTATCGGTAATTCCCGGATGGTACGGGAAACATGGTGTGAGATTGGCTAGACATAGAGAGGATTCAGTCTGAAAAAATTACGGAAGAAACTACAGCGTTCTATGTTCATCAGTCAATCCACGAGTTTTCAAAAGTAGCAACATGAAAAAACTGCCGTTAACTTCAAAGAATAATAAAAGCGCATGGATGACTGCAGTTAGTTTTGAAAATCGGCTTAAAAGCTTGACAGAAAGATGCAACAAAGTAATAGCAACATCACGTTTGTTGACAGTACAACCACTTGCCCTCATAAAAGTAAGCGAAATAATAGCAAACTGCAGCACATAGCACCTAACACCACTGCGGTCAGAGTATTATTTAGGTACTTAAATTAAAGTTTAGAAAAAACAGCTTCTACGTCTTATTACGATCTTGGAGTCACAGGAAAATATGTCCGGAACCGAATACATGTAATAAATTTATTGGACGTCGTGTTCTGGATCACTGGCGCACGGAAGTACGTGGAGAACTCAGAAATCTCTGTGTTTTTGTAGAACAGGGCTCCCTTGTTCTGCAAACATAGATACTGGCGGCAATGCACACTAGACCTGAAGCAGACGAGAAAATTGTACCTTCTGCAACCTGTACTGCATTGGATAATCATTCAAAGGAATTGTTTGGATGCCAACTGACTGACAGCTCCATGGCCGATTCTAATCTCCAAAGTTGTAACGCAATATAAATAAACTACGACCTTCCTGTCACTTCAATTTTGGCAGTTGGGGATGTGATTTGTGAATCAGACGACGAGATGGAACAAGGTTATACAAAGGTTCTGACAACTTATACGTTCACAGACGCATAGGCTGTCGTTGAAAGTTGCGCTCTTACGCAATAAATGGCGGATGCATTGACATGCTAAACTTATCATGAATGTGAGGGAAAAACCAAGTGCATCTTTTATTCCAACTGCCAAACAACTGACTTCTGTACTGGATTTTTTCATCTGGTGTAACATGATACGGACAATATGCTGATTTGCAAGTTAGTTATAAAAATGTATTCAAAAGTGTAGCCAAATCACATTTCTATTACTCATATACCCCATTCCAACGCCAATAATTATACCCATGCAAGGCGCATTGCCATTGGTTCCCTGGTGATAAAGAAAGTGCTTTACTCAAAATAACCAGCTGGTGGTACGGGCTACATGGTTTGACTATCCACACTGTATATACAGAAAAACAGCCCTAAAGATGAGTTACATGAATGATGGCTTTCCTGCTTTAAAAGCCACACCGGCAGCACATGGCCAGATGGAGCATGGAAGTGCGGGTAAAATCCATCGAGAGAATAACCCGCATGGAAGCAGGTCCCCAGCAGACGGTCCCAGTAATGGCCGTATTATTTTACGTATACATTTTATTTAACTACACTTATTATTTTTTAAAACCTCACAATCTTCCAGAAAGATTTAACCGAGCAATTAGCCATATCCGCCAAAATGCCTGAAGACGTCTTTAGAAAATTCAAAAAATATAACATGTGCTCCTTGCGATTGTGTCGTACACCAAGAATGGTAATACCTAGTTGGACTGTAACTTGCATCGACGAGAGACATACCGTTGTTTTTTAGTCACCACAAATTCAATATTGCCCATGCAAGAGCCTGGTACTACCTGTACATATTTAAGATGCATCATATATGGACGCAGCTTCTCATCTGAAGAGAAATATATCCATTAGTATTATTATAATCATTACTATAGTATAAAACACAACTGTTATTGCTCTAATTAGAAGACTAAAACTGATGGTAGAAGTCATCTGTGTGTAGATGTAATTCGCATTCGAAAGCGAAGCACACATGTGCAATCGATGACGAGTAGTGGCCATGGGGATCAGTTTTTGCCGGTCCCTTGAGTGGTATCTTTAGGCAAGTTTGACTGTATTATCTGACGTTAGCAGTATCCAAACAAGGCGGTGTAAAACGAAGGATCACTGCAACACAAAAAAGCAGGTAATCTGACTCAACGATGCAAACAATACTGACTATGGGACATTTAAAACTTTCATGCAAAACAGGAGTTAAGCCGCAATAACAATAAGATACACTTGATGATAGAACCCCCACTGCAGAGCGGTGATAAAAGAAAAAAATGTGAAGTTTTCGCGGGTAAGCTTAATTACAGAAAGAATATCGTCCTGGGCGTGAGTCAAAATGCCACTGAAATTTCGGCGAGATAAACGTTTAATAGCTAAAATATCAGGATCAGCGATAATAAAGTAGAAAAATCGGAGAAAATTAACTGAATCATCTCCTCAGTGATAAAATAACGCGATGTCAGCTTGGCAATGAGAGTGGCTAGACGATTAGGGTCACATTCGGTTCTGTCGGGCTATACTACCATAGATTCGCCTAAATCAGGAACATAAAGAGAGTATGAGCCGGGAATAGCATATTTCCATGAAACGGACAGGAGACATTTGAAAGTATAAGACGTTTTAAAACTGTCAAATTGTAGAGCCAGGTGATCTTGACTCCTTGTACGTACAATATCGCCACGCCGTCTTCATGTGGCAAAAACGGTATAAACAATGTAATTTTCGTAACCTAACGCAGGAAAATGAAAAAAATACAAGGGGGTAATTTGTGCTGTCGATAAAGAATACACCGTGGTGTAGGCGATTTATTTTGCATGTTCCTGGGCCGCGATCCAAGAAATCCTGAATCTCGTGAAGGAAATAAACCAGACAGATGTTGGTTAAATATTGCATGTAAACACGAGTGGACCAGTTGAGTGCAGACAATCAATTTATAACAATCATCAAAAAGCGATAAGAGCTCAGTATGTGCGAACAGGGCAGTTCATCTGGTAAATTCGAGAATGAATGATAAACGAAGGCAACCAATTTGGTTAAATTGCAGGTACATTGTGACAAGGTTGCGCGATGATACTAAAATCCTGTGCAGTCAAGGAAGGTGAGTTCGAAGACGAACAGCCGCCAAGTACACCCGCTATAAATATAACTGAAAGTCCCTGTAAGGATAACCGGCGGTAAGACTGGCTGGTGATTCCTGAAACTGCATGCGTAATTTCAAGTCCTTGAATACGCGAATGTAAAGCCTGACTCACCTCCGGATATTGCGATATTGACGTAAAACTCATGGAAATGGCACTTGAAAGCTGGATAACAACGGACACGAATAAGACCATGCTCCACTCCGTCGTGATTGAATATGTTGTCAACGAGCAATCAACAAGTGCATGACATTCACATACTGGGGCTATTTGCAGCAAGTGGCCAGTCAGTTCTCGTTGATAACATGGAACTGTTGCGGCCATATTTCCGTCCGTTGGAACCAGCTTACATTTATTGAAAAAATGAAGGTCTTACAGGAGCCGAGATCCAAGCGGATTAATGCATGCCGCAAGCCATAAATGTGGAAGACTGCTGGATAATGGTAGAAGCAGTACGTTCGCTGTGCTCTCAGTTTGTACCATTCAAGCAACGGAAAATCGGACAAGTGAAGCCATGCTGCTCTGACAAGGGGTAAGGCAGACTGGGTCGGCAGTGGAGCAGACTGCGGGACAAATCTATTCTGCTTGAAGATGATAACGAGTTGGGGACGTAAAAGAGGTGACGGAATGCATGGCATAAAACAAGGACGAGTAAGCGCTGGCATTTCGAAGGGAAGCTTTCAACCCCTGCAAAGACCGGTCCGAAAATGTTTTCGTTTATGTGAAACAGTGCCTGAAGCCTGTAAGTAATCTACCAATGCTAGGGGGTTCAGACGGAAAAATCCTCAAGCATCAGCAGTACGTCAAGATGTAGTACCGAGGCTTCGCTGTCGCGCAACCACCACGTCGCACGTGGGATAAGGATACTGTGAGGGTCGTCCGGTCCCTATGCAGACTCGGACCCGCACCGTTGGATTACAAGGTAGGTTTGTGACCCTTAAGGCTATGTGAGGAAAAACCCTAACCTCAAGCATTGAGTGCGCATCCCCGTTAGCAGTGCACTTCTGTTCCATATTCGCAAATAATCAGGTGTCTGCACCAACTTCGACGTGCACCGCCCCCCCCCCCCGAACTCGACATTCTGGATTGTGGTGCTGAAGGGGTGCGTTAACTACTCACCACCCTTGACGGCACCGAGCCTATTGGGCCTGACGGGTTTGGCCCGCTAATTCTCATGCCAATATGAGCAATTATCTCGCCTGTTGTGACACTTTCTAACCTACTGAGCATATTTTGATGGAGTTGGACAGATGTAAATTTCGATTCGCTTCCATAATGAAGTAATCAATATTCGCAGATCAAGCAATTCGTGATGACAGCCTGCGATAAACTGGGTCTCCTACCTCCAGCACATCCAGTCAAACCAGCGAAAACCGCATCAGTCCAATAGTTGTGGTTACATGCGAATCTAGATACAATCTGTGCACGGTGCGTACTTGCAGATGAGTAATTCGACAGTGAAGTAACAGCAAACAGCAGGCTGCCCATCGTTGATATCACTTGTGCAGGCAAAACAAGTAATCGACACTCGCAAATCCCAGGTTCCTTGACCACCAGAAGATAAATTGCATGGAAATGGGGTCTGAGATGGGTTGTATGGGAACCAGAGTAGACAGATCAAGTAGCTTCTGTTATTAGAGATAGCGGACGCGAGAACACGACTGTTTCATTGCGCATATCTATCCTTCAACCTATAAGATTACTTCTCACTCGACTCATATTGCCTGCAGTAGAAGTAAACCCGCACAAATCCGGAACAATGTAGACTATCGAGATCAATGCGTTACTAGCAAAGTCGAGGCATCCATAAATGACAATTGGGAGCGAATCCGATGGCGCTTAATGTCATAAAACGAGAAGACGAGCTTAATAATGTAGGTGTAAAGATCAACCTTGGTCTGTGAAAGACAACTCAAGAAACGAGCAAACATTTACAAAAAGAATTATTAAGCACACGAAAATGATGAACAGTGTAGTGATGAAGATGGACAGGGTAGTTTACTTGACTTACTTTTCGACACTGAAGATACTCATCTAGAAGAAAACCAATGTTTGATTTGTCCAAAAGAAATAAAGCGCCTAAAGAATTGCACGCTTCCTTTTGTTGATGAGTGTAAGCAACAAGGACTGGCTACCTGAATGGTGCAAGGCACCGACGAAAGTCTTCGACGGACAGCATGAGATACAGCCGATTCCAAATGAGAAAGTGAGATCCGAATTTTGTTGGCTAAAACGTTTGCGCTAACTCCAAAGGAGAGGAGGTTATCAGTCAGCTGTAACCTGGTGGAAACAGTGCGACTGAGTAGGAGTAGGAGAGCCACTGTCAAATGATCCCCAGTATCCATAAAGTTCCAAACCTAAGGAATGCGCCTGGAGTTCTAGTAAAAAGTTTACCATATCAGGAATTTCGAGTAAGTATTTGAGCTGGGCAGTAGTCGACAGAACCTCCGAGTTGAAACAGCGACCTGGCCTGAGAAAAAGATAAGCATGAAACAGAAATTTACTTCGGGAACTCGGGTGAAACAGTCCATTTGGTGGAAATATCGCTGAGAGAATGAACTGAATCTAAAATCTGATCGAATATAAGTGAGTTAAACTGTACGGTTTGCGATAAGACTTTCATCTCGTGAATTGTGTACGATGTCTCAATAACATCTCGATACCTTTCACCAACCAGCATTCTCAACTCATCTTTTTTCGCTTCCACCAACTTCCTGAAAATGGTTAAGGACAGCAAAGTAAGTTACTTTCTAACTCTAATGGCATCTTGTGCCTCAGTTACACTATGGCTTGAGAACAACTCATACACTGGGAGATTCACGTCCGGCTTAAGCATTGGTCAAGGAGGATGGTCGTCTTCCACTAGCGTAAAAGACTGGAGACAATGCTATGGATGCATAACACTGAAGCGAAAAGAAAATACCTCGTAAGCAAAGTGAATGCAACAGATAAAATCATGTGATAGGGGTGAAAAAGAGGATGAGAAACAGAACCTGTCATACTTATTTCGAGATGCAAGGTGAAATTAATCATTAGCCGAACTGTGCAAAGATCAACTGTAGACAGCGAACAGGTGTGACGTAACAGTACAGTTATACATATTTCATGAATCATGTTCGAATGCACTGAGTGTGTGCCTGTAAACCTTGAATTCGGACACCCGTGTAATTAGGCAGGTGGGTTCACATGCTGTAGACTGCGACCTAATTACGGAGGAAATCTTTGTCCGTCGGAGCATGAAGAGAGCGGCGAGAGGACAGTGCCTGTTGTCCGTTGCTGGATGCCCTAACTGTGATTCGATAAAATGGAACGGAGGTGTCTGTAGAACCAAACCAAGGAAGGGGTATCAGTGCATGGCTTGCCGTACTATCTCTTCGTGGTGCCAGCTGGGTGGTTCGGAATCTAGCTGTTCCAGCAAAAGGTACGGCGGCAGTTTCAGGAGGTGGTGGGTTTTCGCCTGGCAACCGTTCTCCCTGTAAAAAGCCATACATGTCCGTTAAGCAACACTGACGTAGCGGATGTGACTCGCCACTAAACAAAATCACTGCTGCTTGTTTCGCTTCGCTGGAGCAATGTAATCCTTCAGCAGGGCCCTGAATTACTATGCCCCTGTTTGTCAGCCAGCCAAACGAAAGGCGTATGAACCGAGAAATCGGTCACCGGCTACTAATGGGCGCGATTCCCTGAATTTGTCCTGCTGCCTTGTGCATCAAGTCCCTGTAACCGAAGGCTCTCAGTGGAGCCCCCCTTAAGTTAACCCCCTTCCTCGGCTTGGGCAACCGGGAAGTTGAATGCCCACACAACACATGAAATGATGGATTTAAGACTATATATATATATATATATATATATATTTATTCACAGTCTGTTAACAGACATTGTGCCATCAGAACCATGGCAGAAGAAAAAGGTGAAGAAGATGGGGACACTAATGCGATTAAAAAATATGGGAAACGAATTTTTTTTGGTTTTACACACGCCATTTTGTATTTTTTGTTTTGTTTTGTGAGTTTTTGTGTGTATCAAAGGGATGGTGAAATTGCGGAACAACATTGCCGCCACTGATGTCTGTTGCGGGCCATGACGTCCAATGTTTCCAACCACTGCAATTCAGCATCTCGTGGTCCCCAACCTGGAAGGCGGACTGGTCCGACTGCTGCCAAACTTGAGGTCGCCTTCTTCATACTCCTTCTCCACGTCATCGGCTGTCCACCGCGGCACTTTTTCCAATCGCTCCCTGGGAGTGCAAATAGCGCTCGACGTGGAAGGCGATGGGCTGGCATGCGCAGAACATGCCCGAGCCAGCGCATGCGATGTCGGAGAATAACGTCTTGAAGACTGGCACTATTCGTCCCAAGCACGCGGTCTCTCACCTCTGCGTTGCTTACGTGGTGTTGCCACCACACCCTAGCAATCCTTCGTAGACAGCGATTATCAAAGACTGATAGCCGCTTCATATCTTCCGAGCGAATAGGCCAAGTCTCACAGCCGTACAAGAGTACTGCACGGACGGAAGCATTGTACACCCTGCCCTTGAGCTTGAGAGTGACATCACGACGACGCCATAGATGTCTCAGTTTGATGAATGCAAGGCGGGCCTTTGCAATCCGTTGTGAGACTTCATCTCCAACACCGCCACCAGCCGTGATGCAACTCCCTAGGTAAGTGAAGCAAGGGACTTGCTCCAGAACATGTCCAGCAATGGTGAGCGCGGGTTCAGGCACCTGCCAATCCTGGAGCAGCGTTTTACATTTTCCCGGAGTGAAGCACAGGCCGTACTTAGACGCCTCCATCGCCAAGCGGTCCAGAGCGTTCTGGACGGATTGTGGGTCGTCCCCCAGCAAGGCGATATCATCGGCATAGTCCAAGTCCGTGAGTCTGTCTCCAGGGAGAAGCTCAACACCGCAGTCCTGGACACCTTCCAGTGCTCTTTGGAGAACATCTTCGATGGCGAAATTGAAGAGGAAAGGTGAAATAGGGCAACCTTGGCGAACACCGCTGGTCACAGCGAATGAAGAGGAGTGCGTGCCGTAAGCCCTAACTTTGCCCGACGTGTGACTGTAAAGGACTTTCAGGATGGTTACAAACTTGTCGGGCACACCTTTCTTCAGTAAACAGTTCCACAACGCAGACCTATCTACTGAATCAAATGCCGCTCGGATGTCCAAAAACACTACGATTGTTGGCCGCCGGTGGATGTGACGAAGTTCGAGAACTTGCCGAAGCGTGAAGATTTGGTCGATGCAGCCACGGCCTGGACGAAATCCAGCTTGTTCTTCTCGGGAAAACTCCTCTCTAGTCGTTGAAAGCCTGCCAAGTAGAACCGACACGAAGATTTTGGATGCGACAGAGATTAGGGAGATTCCGCGGTAGTTGCAGCAATCGTCGCGGGAACCCTTCTTGTGAATTGGGACAATGACCGATTCTCCCCATGAGCTCGGAACCTTCTCCTCAGTCCAAACTTTTGTGAACAGCGATAGGATTTCGCTGATAAGTACACTCCCACCATCTTTGAATAGAGCTGGTGGTAGGTTGTCGGGACCAGAAGCTTTGTGGCGTTTCAAAGATTGGACTACATTTCGAATCTCTGCTTCATTTGGGGGGGCTGTGGAGACAGGCCAAGCATCATACATTGGGGCTGGAGGTGTCGCAGGGGACTGTGTTGGGTGGTTGAATTGAAGAGCGAAATGCTCTGACCAGCGACCCAATCGTCTGCGAAGGTTGGTGATCTTCGTGCCGTCTGCCTCGCAAATCGTCTGGCTGATAGCGTGGAAATTGCAACCAGTGGCCCTGATGATGTAAAACAGCCGGCGGAAGTTGCCAGCTGATGCAGCGGCTTCCATCTCACCAGCTTGTTTTGACCACCAAGATTCACGATCAGAGCGAAGGCTTGCTTTCAGCTGTTGCGTAATAGACCGGCGGTGTTCGTTGTACTCTGCACCAGCAGGCACCGCCCGTCGACGATCCAGCAATTCTGATGATCTTCCCGAGATCCAGCATTTGGGAGTGGAGCGAGTGAGGCCACAGCTGGACAAACCGGCCGACAACAAGGCTTGCTGGAGACTTGACCAGTGTTGATCAACATCCAGAGTGTGAGAGAGAGGGAGCTTTTCGCGAAGCTTTTGTTGATAATCCCTCTTCACCATTGGGTCCTCCAACTTGTAGGCGTTCAGTCGGGTGTGTTTTGACCTAGGCGAACCACCAAAACGCATGCAAACGGTCGCACACACCAGTGCATGATCGGTGTCGACGCATGTTGACCAAAATGATCGGCAGTCGCGTACACTGCCGCGCCACCTGCGACTTATAGCTATGTGGTCAATCTGTGACCAGCGCTGGGTTGATGATGGGGGGCGCCAAGTGGCGTACTGGCGTCCAGGATGACGAAAGCTGGTGCTGGAGAGGAATAGTTGATGATCAGCACAAAGACTGAGCAGTCTCTCACCATTGTCTGAGCGAACATCATCATATCCATGCGGTCCTCCGAGGTGGCGCTCACATGGCAGCAGACGACCGACACGCGCGTTGAAGTCACCTGCCAAAACAATGATGTCTGTTTTAGGAGCCCTTAGGAGCAGCTCATGAAGGTTCTGGTAGAACTGGTCTTTGACGATGTCTGAGCTACAGTCAGTGGGCGCGTAGGCAGAGATCACGAAGAGAGCACGCTTTTCGACTCGACATCTGCTGACCTTACAAGAGCCATGGAGCCTCATCGCACAAAGGCGGCTATTGATCGGAATCCAATCAATCAAAGCAGTCTCGGCTCTAGCGCTGAGGGCGATTCCAACACCAGCTTGCCCAGATGCGGCAGACTCGGCGTCACCAGAGAGGCGGAGATGGAACCGGGTGCGTGGATGCAGCGGTGACACCAGCTGGTAGACCGAGTTAGAGTCCTGGAGTCGTGTTTCAGTCAGGCAGCAGATATCAATTCCAAGGGTCTCTAGCGTGCGTGCAACTCCAGCTTGCTGACCGATCTGCAGTAATGTGCGTACGTTAAAAGCTGCAAGTTTGAACTGCGTTCCGGGTTGCAGGAGCGAAGATAGGCGACTTTGGGGCCGGCAACTCTCTGTTGAGTACTGTGTGGTTGAGTTGGCAGATGTCACGGGAACAGGTTCATCAGTGTAGGTGGGATTGATCGTTGTAGAGGAATCAGGTAAAAATGGGTGTGAATGGGACACGGGAAGAGTAGGTAAAATGGTGGCGTGTGCTTGTGCAGTTGGCATAGTAACATGAGTGGATAGCATGGTAACAGCAAGACAGCGGGTGAAAGGTTGTGTTGTAAGTCCATGGTTCGTCAGTGGGCGAGATACTACCCGGTTGCCCAGGCCGAAGTAGAGGGTTGTCTTAGGGGGCCCCACCCCGAGCCTTTGATCAAGGATCTAACCTACAAGGCAGCAGGGCGATATGAGGGTATCGCAACCCGTTGGGAGCCGGTGACCAAACAAATGGTTCATACGCCTTTAGGACCGCATAGGACCAGGGGCCCAACGCACCCTTGAATTACAATGCCACTCAGAGAGAGGCAAGGGGCAGTGACTTTATTTAGTGGCGAGTCACATCCGCCACGTCACAGTGTTGTTAAGCGGACATATGTGGCTTTTTATAGGGAGAACGCTTGCCAGGCGAAAACCCACCACGTCCTGGAACACTGCCGCCGAACCATTCGCTGGAACAGGATGATCCCGAACCACCCAGCTGGCACCACGAGGAGGTTGTTCGGCAAGCCAGCCGGATTTAAGACTTTCTGCTCATGATTCTCAGTCTGGACTCTCTCTCTTTGGCCGAAGTACTGGCGGCCTAGCAAGGTAAAGCTCACGCTTCCGCGCCGCAAACTAACTTCTTCGTTCCACGTTTACTCAATCCTCCTGTCCTTGGCAACCCCCTCCAATTTCGAGTCTCCAAAAGTGCATTGGAATAAAAGCGGTAAATTTGGTCTCACCAATCAAGGGCACAAAACCGATCGCACATAGTCCGATTCCAACAGCAAGGCTTTAATTGCACCCCGCTCATTTTTCAAACAAGCTACGTTCAAAGTTCGAACGCTTATGCAGTTGGGATCACAAGCTGCTCTGTCGCGCATCTCGGAAACCCTCTCCATCGACGTTCGCTGCATAATCGAAACCCATTTATAGGACTCCAGCACAACACTGTGATTGCTCTCACCATCCTCAAGTTCCAATTGCACATGCACCTTGCACTTATCCGGAGATACGACAGCGGGAGCCTCTGGCTGCGCCGGCGCAGAAGTTGCCTAAACTGCACGTGCTGAGGCAGCGCTCATTGATTGGTTCCCGGTCAAAAACCGCCGAGCAGTCCGCTTGCAAAGCGAAATGTGAAACCAAGGAGCAACCAACCGATGGAGTGTATATGGAAAGCGAAATGAAAAAGCAGCGTAAATGCATAGCAATAGACAAAAGGGTGCAGAGCAAACCAAGTGCAAAACTGTTTTTTAGGTTTTCAAAGTATTGCTCCTTTTTGGTAGTCGTAGAACATTTTGGTCTTTTTTTGTGGATTTTGAAAAACCTTTGGTAAGAGCAAGAAAATTTCAAAGGCACGTTCTACCTAACATAGTAAGTGCTAACATAGTCCGAAAAAGGAACTGGAGGTTTGAGCTTCATACCACTTCGATTGATAGTATGGGAGTAGAGGTGTTGTCAGTTAAGATTGTAGGTTCCGCTGGAACGGAGTGACTAGTCTGAGGTTGCGATGCTAGCTGGGATAGTGCTCGTTGCATCGAAGAGTCAGACTTGTCGAGGTATGCGGGCTTAAGTCGATCGATGTTGTTTGTTTCTGTCATATCATTGTGGCCAATGGTAAACGTTATATCGCTCCTGCGGACGACCCGGTACGGGCCAGGATAAGGAGGTCAGAGTGGCCGGTGTACATTGTCGATGAGAACGAACACGTGAGTGCAAGTGGCAAGGCGTTCGTCCACGTTACTACACAAGCTCTGTGCTCTGGGCTGCACAGTCTGACGCTGTCTCATGTGATTAGATAGGCGAGCTGCGTAAGTGCCAAAGTTGGTGCTTTGGGCGAGACGAGTTCATCAGGTAAGAGTTGTGTGCAGCCAAAAACTAGCGAAGGAGTGACGTGCAAATCCGCATTGATCGCGTCCCTTGTGTCTAGGATAACAACCGGAAGTGCTTCGTGCCAGGATATGCCAGAATGGGCACATAGTGATGGTTTGAGTTGCCGGTAGGACCTTTCTATAATACCATTAGCTGCGGGGTGGTAAGCGCTAGCTCGGTTATGCTGGAAACTAAGTACGTTGAGTAGTTTGCTGAAGGATCCGTCAAAGTGTGATCCTCTGTCGCTTTGGCAACCAAATTGGGCAACTCAGCGTTCTAGGTAGGCTTGTGCAACTGTCTCCAATGAGCAGTTGGCTATGGGAATCGGTCGTGAATCGGTCGACACAGGTGAGTAGGCACACATAGCCTTTGCATGGTGGTAAAGGTCTGACTAGGTCGACATGGACGTGCGCGAAACGAAAGTCAGGAGCTAGAAAGATGCCAAGTGGACTTTAAATGTGTCTGTATACCTTGGCGTACTGACATTCTGAGCACGCGCGAACGCAAAGGCGGACGTCGCGGTTGACGTTGGACCATATGAAGCGTTCGGTTACGAACTTCTGCGAAGCACGTATGCCAGGATGAGACAGGTTGTGTAGAGCATTGAAAACAAGCCGCCGCATTGTCGGAGGAACTAGGGGGTGGGAAGAAGTTTGTGGGACGTCACAAAAATGGTCCCCTCAGATGAACTTAGTGGAACTTCGCATAGTTTCAAATAGGTGTTGTGTCGAAGCTTGTCTATGTCGGGATAAGCTTGTTTGGCAGCAGCCATGCCAACTAGGTCGATGTTGGACCCAGGAACTAAGCAGATCTGATGGATTCGCGACAGAGCGTCCGCGACGGGATTAACAGCACCTGAGCCAGGTCATACATCTGTCCTAAACTGAGAAACATAGTCTAGGTGTCTAGTTTCTCGCGGAGAATACTTGCCTGTTGTGCCATTGATACCGTAGATCCATGGATTGTGATCAGTGAAGACATTGAAATGTCGACCTTCGAGATAGTGACGGAAGTGTTTGATGCCTAGGTAGATAGGTAGCAGTTCCCTACCAAAGGTATTGTAATGCGATTCGTCAAGTTGCAAAAGTTTCGAGAAGAAAACTAGAGGTATCCATCGATGGTCGATGAGTTGTTGGAGAGCTGCACCGACGGCGGAGTCTGATGCGTCAGTTGTAAAAGAAGGTGGCGCAGATGAGTCTGAATGAGCGAGAAGCGCGCTGTTGGAGATAGTGTCTTTGAGCTTCTCGAAAGACAATCTGGCGTCATCTGGAAAGAGAAAACGGTGTTGCTTACCGCGGTACAAGTAAGTCTTAGGTTGCACTATGCGCGCGCAGTTAGGAAAAAACGTCTGTAATAGTTGACTGGACCAAAAAATCTGCGTACCTGTTTGAAAGGACTAGGAGTACGATAGTTCTTCAGTGCCTGAATTTTGTCTGACAGAGCTTCAATACCAGAGGCGGATATTCGGTAGCAAAAAAGGTCGATGGAGCTTTGGCCAAGTTCGCATTAGTCGTGGTTGACGGTAACCCATATTGCGTCAAGCGTCGGAAAAGTGAGGGGTTCATCGGCAGAAGAGCCAGCGATGAGTATGTCATCTAGATTAGGATAAACGCCTTGGTCCTCGCGTTACCTCATGAGTGGAACGCTGAAAAGTCTGGGCAGCGTTACTGAGGCCGAAAGACATTCTGAGGTACTCGAAAATGTCAAACGGTGTGATGACCGCTGTTTTAGATAAGTCGTCCGTTGCTACCGGTATCTAATGGTAGGCAAGCACTAGGTCGATTTGGCTAAAAATCGACTTACCAGCTAAAGCTGAGGTTAAGACGTACATATGCGGAATGTGGTGTTTATCCGGGACGTTAACTTTGTTAAGTGCCCTGTAGTCACCACAGCGGTGCCACTCACCGGATTTCCTGGCTATCATGTGTAATGGTGGTGCCCATGGACTTCTGGATGGAAGGATTATTCCTAGTTCGATCAAATACTCGAATCCCGTCTTAGCCGCTTTGAGCTTGTCCGGGGCTAGTCGGCCAGGGCTGGCCGAAACAGGTGGACCCTTAGTTGCGATGTAGTGTATGACGTTTGACGTCACAGGAAGCAAGTTGTTCGGAACACGAACGAGTTTAGGATGCTTTTTGAAAAGATGTAGAAAAGACTGTGAACCTTGAGGCAGGACCCGAATCGGAGTGATAACAGCCACGTTGGCACTGGTCCCGATAATACTGAGCTCCGTCATAAAGTCGGTAAGCTTCTCCCTTTTATAGTCGAGAATAAGGTCGAAGTGCTGAAGAAAGTCTATACCTATGATTGAGAAAGGCATGGCTGCTACCATGAAAGGCCAGCGAAAGATTCGCCGGAGGCCTAAATTGATCCGAAAATTGCGATTGATGTGCCATTGGCAGCATGCAGTTTGGTCGGCGAGGGTAAGACCACCGCAGCTGGGCTACGTGGTATAAAGTTAACTTCGGCTCCGGTGTCGACTAGGAACTCGGTGCCGGAAGATAAATCCATAACACGGATGACGCGAATTTGGTGTTGGCCGGTCGCAGGTGCAAGGCTTTATACCCTTACGAGCTGCGGCACTAAAGCGTTGGTGGTACCAACAGCACGCCTGCCTGTAACTGAACTTGGGGCGTTCTGTGGGCGATTTTGATCGACTGCAACGACGACGGCTCATAGTGAGCTGTGGATTTGGCAACTAAGTGTCGCGACTTGTGCTTGAAGGGTTTCTATAGTTGACTGTAAGCCAGTGACAGAAGTGCCCTGGGACACGATGGCGATGACGTTGCTAGCGTCCGCTTGTGGCTGTAATCGTTCGATGACCCGATTTGCTAAATCAGCTAGTTGAGTGAGCGATACGGAGCTCACGATAGTGAGAATCGCTTGCGTATTTTCCGGTAGCCTCTGTAGCCATAGTTCGCGGAGTATGGTCTCGTCCATTGTTGATGAACCAAGCAGCTGTTGCATCTCTCGTAGCAAGGTTGAGGACAGTTTGTCGCCCAACTGCAGATTCCTGAAAAGCTGTTGCATGTGGAGTTTCTCAGAGAGAGCATGACACGCTTAACCGTGGCTTCCTTGAGAGCCTCATAGCGGTTTTCGGAATGAGAAATGATAATGTCTCGGACATGCACTGATATCTCCTTGGGGAGATAGGACATGAGCTGCCTATATTTAGCGTATTCGGAAATGGTTCTGTGGTTATAAAATTCTGCCTCATGATGAGAGAACCAAAAAAGGGGATCCATGTCCTAAAAAGGTGAGACAGAGAGATACAACGCTAACGAGAGACTACATTATGTCCTAAAGAATCCATGGCTTAAAAAACGGATAGCAAAATATTGTTACCGTGTGCAAAAAGAAACCGGGAAAATGTGAAAAAATAAATGGAATGACGACCCCGGAGAAAAATTCGAAGTATCCGGTGTTGAGGTTCTTCCGGAGTTGAAGCCAACAACTTAACGAGAGTCCGGAGAGCGATTCCAAAACACAGATCGGGTTGCAGGGAAACTTATTTGTACAGCAAAAGGTTCCCCGTTTGTCCAACTATAACAAAGTGACACCGTTGACGCTCTAGCTAAGGAACGCAGAAAGCACAGCACAAAAAGCAGTCGGGCGTTGCAACCGAAATAAGCACCAAGAAAAATGGCGATGCAAAACTCAAA